GTGCTAATCAAACATGAACCAAGATTCTTTTTGTGATTCGTGCAACTGTAATTTGAGATTGATTGTTACCAGCCAGCCTCCATATTATTTCCTGTGTCAAAAGGTCAAAATGGCATAGATGGGTCACGTCACCCACCAGCGGCAGCGTTTATTGGTCAGGTGCGGCGCAGTGCATTCTGGTAGTTGTAGGTTTTCTACTACTTGAGCAAAAGCAAATGCCACAGCCCCTTTCCTCTATTTTCTCTGGTCATGTAGGTCAAGGTGGAGCTCATTTTACTGATGTTATACACTGCTGAGTATTATTAATCTATAATAATAATACATCATCATTTATTAGTTTATGTATATATTGTAATCTGAATCTGTAAAGTAACTAAAGTTATCAGACAAATGTAGTGCTGTAAAAAAGTGTATGCTAGGAGAAGCATAAAGTGGAAATACTTAAGTAAAGTACCTCATAAATGTACTTAAGTACACTATGTGAGTAAATGCACTTAGTTGCTTTTTACCACTGCATGCTATAATATATTTATACCTACTTATAACTCACTTAAGTAAACTGTCTATCACTTCTAAAGTTTTTTTTAAAAGTATATGAAGCAAGCGACTTTGTAAGTAAGAGGTAAAAAACAATAGCTGTAATACAATAATAATGCCTCTGTTGTGTATTTCTGTCCTGCCTTCGTCTCTCAGGGTGGTGATGACCTGGACCCCAACTATGTGCTGTCCAGCCGTGTTCGTACTGGCCGCAGCATCAAGGGATTCACCCTGCCCCCCCACAACAGCCGTGGAGAGCGCAGAGCCATTGAGAAGCTGTCCATTGAGGGTGAATGTCAAACTAACAGTGGCTGAATGTAACTAAGTGTATTTACTCAAGTACTGTATGTAAGCACAGATTTGAGGTATCCGTACTTGAGTCTTGTCTTTTTGTTTTACTTTATATTTCTACTCGACTACATCATGGGGGAAATTTTGTTCTTTCTGCCCCACTACATTTATCCGACAGCTTTAGTTACTTTACAAATTAAGATTTTTTTTGCACACAAAACTTAGAAATAGCTTCTAGAATATCAAGCTTTGTTCTTAATGAAACTACCCAACAGTTTATACAAGTAAACTGTTAGTCAATTGGCAGCCATTTTATTATTTGTTAAAATCAGTTTTTCATGCAAAGAAAGAAAGAAAGACCATTATGGTTCCAGCTTCACAAACAGTAAAACCCTGCTGTTATGTTAAGGAGTCATCTAATGATATTATATATAATAGTCACAGGGGGATATATACTGCTTTCAGTACTTTAAGTACATATTCCTTATTATAATTTCAAACTTTCACTTGAGCAGCGTGGTCAGTGCAGGTCTTACTTGTACTTGTAACTGTCAGAGACTGACTCCTGTCTTCGGTTCTCTCCTCTCAGCCCTGGCCAGCCTGGAGGGTGAGTTCAAGGGAAAGTACTATCCCCTGGACGGCATGACCGACGCTGAGCAGGAGCAGCTGATCGCTGATCACTTCCTGTTTGACAAGCCCGTGTCCCCCCTGCTGACCTGCGCTGGTATGGCCCGTGACTGGCCCGACGCCAGGGGCATCTGGTAAGAGACACACAGACACATAGAATGGAAATGAAACAAAAAAAGATTATAAATCAGACTCTTGCCCCCACTTTAGAAAGCGTAAAATCAGATATGTGCTGTGATCAACTGTAAAAGCAGCTTTTCTTTTCTGTTCCCATATAAACACATGATTACATACTCACTAAACAAAAGACCCCCTTCTAAGCTCCCATCTGCCCTCCACAAACCAACCTTTAAAACTTTCACCATCTGTCTCTTTTTCCATTGCCCCAATATGAAAATCCTGATTACTCCTGTTTTCAAACATCTGTTTGAGTGTGTCACAAATAACCAAAGCACAGTGTGCAGCTGCAGCATACACTGCTCCTTACAGTGGCTTGACATCCTGTAAATCCACCACCATGCAGCTCAGATTATTCACATTATCAGGGTTAGCGTGTTGTCTTATATCCTACAAATGTTAACTGTCATGTTTCTATGAGGGACTTTGAGGAACCAAATTGTATCCATGCATTATTGTGTCAAATTTCTGTCTCGCAATATTTTGTCCAATATGTATAAATCAAGTATAACTGAGCTGCTTTTCCTCCTCCAGGCACAACGACAACAAGACCTTCCTGGTCTGGGTGAACGAGGAGGATCATCTGCGTGTCATCTCCATGCAGCTGGGAGGCAACATGAAGGAGGTCTTCAGACGCTTCTGCGTCGGCCTGCAGAAGGTAAAAGACAAAAACGTATATGCATTTTTATGCAGACTGCACAATTCAGCTGGGAGTTAAAGCCAATTCACCCCCTGTAAACATAACAACTTTCTTTGGTTACATTCTCTGCGCTGTGAATATGTACAGGGTGTAGATATGAAACCTTTGTGCACAGACCTTTCATCACTGGTGGAGGAAGTACTCAGATCTTGTACTAAAGTACTTATACCACATTGCAAAAAAGTTAATCAAAAATCCTGCATTCAATATCTTAGCTATGTAAAAGTATAAAAGCCTCAAATTATGTTATGCAGAATGGTCCATTTCAGAATAATGTTTGTTATATAATTGAATTGTAGTTAGTGATGTATTTATGTGTTCATCACTTTAATGTTAGAGCTGGTAAAACTGCAGCTCATTTAATTACTTTATATACTGCCAGCTCACGGATTTTACCTCAGTGATGAACCAAGTTTGATCTTCATCTATAATAATTCAGCAATTTATTTTGTGATTATGTTCTGTATTAATAATCTGAATCAAAAAAGCGGAGTGTAGAGGAGTAAAAAGTACAATATTTGTTTCAGCGTTATAATGGAGTTTAAGTATAAAGTAGCAGAAATTGAAAATACTAACGTCAAGTACAAGTACCTGAAAATTAAACCTATGTAAATCTTCTTTGTTGCATTCCACCACCTTTCACGGCTGTTAACCTCATGATGTTGAATTTCTGTCTTCATGATCAACACCTATGTCTGATTAATATGTGGTGACATCTGTTTAGTTATATTGTAACCACCGTGCATTACTCCTCTACTTTCCTTGTCACTGGTCAGATTGAGGAGATCTTCAAGAAGCACAACCACGGCTTCATGTGGAACGAGCATCTGGGCTACATCCTGACCTGCCCCTCCAACCTGGGAACCGGCCTGCGTGGTGGTGTGCACGTCAAGCTGCCCAAGCTCAGCACACATGCCAAGTTTGAGGAGATTCTGACCAGGCTGCGTCTGCAGAAGCGTGGCACAGGTACTAATAAAAAAAGGACACAGAAGAGACCCAGGAGATGTAGTTTTAAATTTTACCCAGCAGCTGCTGAAGGGAGTTAAAAAGTTAACAGCAAAGTTAGCATTTATTGGAAAACCAATATTAGAAAATGTACCTGAAATACAAATGCATGGGTTAAGATAAAAAGAAGCTACTGAAAAACTAACAAACTACTATTTTTAATTCAGGACATTAACTTCAGAATCTTCAGGTCAGCACTTCCTGTCTTATATAGGGCCTACACTGTTTTGTATAATTAGAGAGATACATTGGTTAGTCAGGCAGCGATATTCAGTCAGTGTCAGTACAGTCTCAGGGTCTTTTTTGGGGATATCAAGTATGTTTATAATATAATACTGAATGGGCCTACTGGGGACAGGACCAGGGGAGCCCAAAGTGTCAGGAGCCCCCCTCGCCTTCACCTGTAAAATGTCACTCAAAGAGACACGTACCAAGCAGGAAGATACTTAAAATGAAGAAACATAAAACAGCTTCAAAGAGACACAGAGACCCGCAACAACTAAGATAAGGGGCAAGAAAACCACAAAGAAACACAAAATGACTACAATGAGATGCAAAATAGCTGCTAAGATACACAAAGTGAAGACAAAGAGATGCAAAACGGTTGCAAAAAGACACAAACTGACTACAAAGAGAAGCAAAACAGCTGCAAAGAGACACAAAACTACTACTAAGAGATGCAAAACAGTTGCAAAGGTACACAAAGTGACTGCAAAGAGATGCAAAACAGCTTCAAAGAGACAAAAGAGACTCACAAGAACTACAAAAAGGGGCACAAAGAGGACTCACTTTGCTCCCGTTCTTCTCCCTCCAGGTGGTGTGGACACAGCCTCCGTGGGTGGTGTGTTCGACATCTCCAACGCTGACCGTCTGGGCTCCTCCGAGGTCGAGCAGGTCCAGCTGGTGGTTGACGGTGTCAAGCTGATGATTGAGATGGAGAAGAAGCTCGAGAAGGGAGAGTCTATTGATGGCATGATCCCCGCCCAGAAGTAAAGAGGACAGACAACCAATGACTGAATGACTGTCTGTGTTTGTTTTTTTTTACATTATAAAAAATGAACGAGTAGCCTTGTTGTAAAGTTATTTTACTGGTTTCGGCCAACTGGCTACTTCCTGCTTACTTCTTTCCATCAAGAAGACACTCCACTTTTCTCTCTACTACTTCCTTTCTTTCTTACTTCTGCTAACTCATCTTTTCCTTTCCTGCTTCTTCTTTGGTTTCCAATTACCTGTCACTTTAAACATCTTTCCCCATCTTCTTTGTAACATCCTGGGATCAATCCATGCATAGTCTGGTCATGGCTATGTATACGCACCAAAATAAAAATTTTTTTTGGTTGTAAATTATAACTGGACAATTAAACTATGCCCCATGTAACAATCAAACCGTCTCTCTCATGTTTTCCTTAAACACATGGATTTTGCAACCATTCATAACAGATGACCACTGATATGCACTCACACGAAATGACAGTGCATTTGAATATGGACACAAGTTAACAAAATCTAAAAAACTTAATTTTAGTGTTCACTGGACACACACACACACACACACACACACTCACACACATCATACAGCAATTCATCTATAACACACAGAAACTGGTGGGATTCCACGTCAGACACATTAAATCTATATCTGATGAAAATAAGAGACATAAAATATGAAAGAGGTTGAAAGTCTTTATTTTTGTGTCACACATTATTTCCTAGGAGACATGCAGGATTGCAGGTCGATCATTTCCGTAATTTTAGCCCATAACTTAAGTTTTCTTGATAACAGCAACAGCTTCAAACACACTATACAACAGAACTGTAGCCTTAAAGCGTGGCCCTAACTGTATCTACAGAACAGGTTCAGAGAGCGAGGCCCAGTTGTACACAAAAAGAAAATTGCAAAAACTAGCCCTAAATCACAGCTTCACATTTTCAGACAGTGGTGGATACCTGCTGCGGCTGAAATCTCCCATTAAACAGATACATTTCTGCAGACCTTACAGCCGTAAAGGTCAGAAATCTATCTTTCCTTTTACATATCAGTGTTTTGTTAGTTGCTGCATACTTTAGAAGTACAAGTTATAATTGCTTGGCTTTATAGAGTTACAATACAAGTACAACAACCTTTTGATTTTGGAGTCGTCAGTGTCTTCACATAATCAATGGAGCGCTCAGTGTGTGTGTTTTTGTTGAATCTTGGTCACTTTGTTCTGTAATGAGCAGCAAAGTGATTTTATAGATATCAAGAATTTCTCAAAGGTCATTCATCTTAAACCACCGCCTCATCACGTTGTAACAGTCATACACCGCTGACAGTAATACTGTAATCTGATTGGTCAACAGTCATACACGTCTCTGCAGTGCTGCAGCCTGATTGGTTGACATAGGGAAAAGTTTACTGTCTCTATAGATCAAAAGTGTTGCTGAGGTCAAGAACTTAGAATACATGTAATATTGGAGGAAAGAAAACTGTTAAAACTACAGTAGATCATTTCACAAAACAAGTTTTTGTCATATTTGCTACAACTCAAGTAGAACATGGGACAGATAATCTGTGGAGAAAAAAAAATCAGGTTCCTCTGGCTCCTCCTGGTGTTCCTAATATGATTTGCAAGAATACACCATGCCTGAACAAAAACAACCAATCAGAGCCAGGGGGAGTTACGCTCTACAGCCCCCTCCACCACACATGCTCTCTCAAGGCCCATATAAACTGTCTCTTCAAGGCCGGAATTTCATGTTGTTATGCTGTGCCGTTATGCCGTTCAAGGTACAGTCGCAAAATGGGGGGACAGAGTTGTCTCGCCTTTAAGCTGGCATCACAGGTACTAACCGCACCAGAGCGAGGTCTGTATGAACAAGAAAGCCAACAGGAAGGGATCATGGACGGCACAGGTGTGGGGTTTTGATGACGTGTTAAGTGTGGGACTCACCACAGGAGAAAAGTAGCTGTTGGCGGTTAACCCAATGAAGAACAGCAGCTGAAAATGTATGCAAACTGGGAACACAATGGAGGTCTGGGAGCTCCTTACCCTCCGACCACAGGAGCACTATGAGGAGCTAGACGAACATGAACTTTTTTTTTTCTTTCAACAGATAATATTTCTCATTTACTACTGACAGGATACAGCTACAGTTTCAGTAAAGTGACAAAAAATATTTTTCAAAAAGTTAACTGCTGTAGCTTTAAACCTGAGAAAACTTCATGGAGACAGGTCGCCATTTTGGATAACTGTACCGCAGTTTTTTTTTTATTAGGAGTTACATGTAAGCTCAGGAAGGAGGGCCATTGAAAATGTCAATTTTTCACTTCAGTGGGCTTTAAATGTGTGAGACAGTGTGATTTAAAAAAAAAAAAAAACAATTTACAAAGGAACAATACAACTTAAAGTGGAAACGGACAACTTTTTAACTTTTAACCCTCTATCATTTCCAAGTGGTATTATTGATGGCATCACTGTCACAAAGACAACAGTTCTTCTTTCCATTTCCTTCAGAGCTCAGCAAATACCAGTTTCCACATTTAATTCGGTTGTTCCAGTGTCCACCATTTCTAACACTGGGGATAATAACTGCAGAGAACTTACTCTTACTCTTTGGTAACAAAAGCGCTATCCTCTTCCTGTTTTGCTTAATGCACTTCCTTCGTGCTGTAAATTGAGCTGTCATTTTCCCGGGAGATTGTACCCACTGGCAGACAGAATTATATGGTAAAAGTGAGGCGTATAGGGAACTGGAACCAATCAAAATGCTTATACAACACAATCATTATTGTACAGCCATGACACTGTGCAACCATTTACTTCATAAGCAAAAAACGTGTCTATTTCCACTTTAATTTACAACTTTGCCGGTACAGTACGATGAAGTTGTGGCTAAAAAGCAAAAAAAAAAAAAAAGTGCTTAATGAATTTTAAAAACATATCAGCAATACAAAAAAACTTAAAAATAAACCAAACAAGGAGCCCTGTTGAGTCGATGCTTCAAGTCTAGATTCTTGGCTTTGTGGCTATATTGCACTACATCTGAGGAAAGTGATGGCGGTGGTGTTCGAACAGACTGTGGTATTTTTAAGTGCTACCAGTAAAAACCATCTCCTCCATTTACTCTAAACCAGTATAAGCTACTGTGGTCATGTGTTTTTAGATGAAGAGATCATTGAAAAAAATACTGAAAAAGCTTGAAAGTCAGCTTACAAAAAATGCACTGCCTTTACTGGGTCCAAATCTGTGGCTGCTTAACTTTCAACTGTTGGACATCCAACAAGAAAAAACGTTTGAGCCTCATGTCTGTATTGGCCTCATGGGGAAAGGAGTGAGGATGTGCATTTTATTGTATCATACTGTGTTGACTTTCCATCACATCAGATAAAAACTGTGATCCTCAGAGTAAAAATCTGGGGACAGTCCATTGTTCTGACGGCCCAAAATTCCTAAGCCTCCAAGTCTGAAAAATGTCCCACTTGACTGAGAGCCCATTTCTCCAACAGCCCGTTATCCCAAAACCAAAAGCTCCTTTGCTACAAACACCCGATTCTCCGCAAATGCATACTCTGCAGTTAGACAACCTAGTCGCAAGAGGAAATGTTGGCCATTGACATTTCTGTAAACCACGTTACATTTGTACATTATTGTGCAGTGGACACGTTGGAACTTAACGTTTTTTCAACAATGTTGTGGTTAACATGTGGTTAACCAACAGCTATTGTTAGGAAAAGATCATGTTTTGGCTTAAAACACCCATGTTTGGTGGCACAAAACTTCTAGAAAATCAGGGATGGGTTGCTGAAAAATACCCAGGCTCAGTGGCTCAAGTGCCCCTGGGAAACGCTGTGAAGCGTCAGTAAAAACGCCAGGAGTGGGTGGCTCAAACGCTGCTAAACTGAAACTAACTGCAGAAAGTGTGTATTTTCGGAGAAATTGGATTTTAGAGCAATGGTCATTTGGTTTTGGGATAATAGGCTGCTGGAGAAATGGGCTTTCGATCAAATGGGACATTTTTCGACTCATGGGGCTTCAGAATTTTGGGACATCAGGACAATGGCATGGCACCAGAAAGCGATGCTACTTGGCCTGTAATCAGTACAACATCTGATTTGATGAACTTTTTATAATCAAATATTTAACCATTTTTGGTACAGATTTTATTCTTTCAGTTGTCTGAGCACTCAGTGAAAGCTTACAATATGCGTGGGGGGTTAAATTAGCGCACACTGGTGTCACAATAATGCATTCCGATTGGCTGACAAAGCCAGCTTTCTAATGTGTATAGACTAAACCTGCTCAGTGGAGGCCTCTCATGTAAAATAAATGTAAAGCAGCTTGTTTTTTATGCCTGCGTACATTCAACTTCAAATCAAGAACTCCTGTAAAATAAGTACAGGGCAAGCTGAGACATCCTGTTGTGTAATAAGAACTCAATCAAACCACAGTTCCTCATGGGGATCAATTTTTTCGTAGAAATAATCTCTACTTTGCACTTTAAAACCAACTTTTAAGTGACAAACACTGGGCGAAGTAGAGTATATGTAAGGAGCAGTGCATGCTCAAATGATCAGGTTATTGGCCAGGACCTGTATTATTAGGCAGCTTTGCTCCTCTGTAAGCAGCTCACCTGCCTGTTGTCAATACACAGTGGAGATAATGACAGCAGGCAGAGAAACATTTTACCAGAAAAGGTACAAACAAACATTAAAATCCCAACTGAACAATGAATGGGTGTTATCAATGGATGGGAAGAAAGGCTGTGATGCTTCACTCAGTCTGTCACAAGTCTCTGCATTTCTGCATGTCTCCCTCTAGAGGCCGGAGGTCAGACTGCAACCTCACTTCTGAAATATGTGACGTCTGCTTCTGAGAAATGACAACAGATGTCAAATTTCTGCCCATCTTAAAAGCATTAAAGAAAGAAAATAAACTTAATACACAAAAATTAAAAACATTTCTTTAAATAGCAGCTCTTTAAAAAGGAATGTCGACAACAAATATGATACAATAGGAATAACAATGTCAACAACAACAGTTTAGCCATCGCTATCATTCTCAGCAACACCATCCTCATCATCATCAAACATGAAAAAAAAAAAAAAAAAAAAAAAAAAAAACCTGACTCCATGGGCTCGTATAATATGGAGGTGGTGGCGTGTTTCAAGCAGGGGTTGTAGGTCACTGACAGCTCCAAGGTCAAGGGTCATCGTAAGTCTGCCGATGGCGGTCTATCCATGTCTGTGCATCCGTTTGTCTGGCTGTGATTGGTGGCATCAGTAGAGGAGGGTCCGTGGGGGAGGCGAGGCATCGCTAGCCGCATCGGATGAGGTGGAGCCCAGGGAGGAAGAGGAGGAGGTGATGGTTTTTTCCTTCTCCTCCTCCTCATCCCTTCTAATTCATCAACCTGTCCTGTCTGTTATCAATCTGCCCCGCCTCCAGTCGCCCTCAGAGCTCCAGCTCCTTGGACACTTTGGTGGCGATGTCTCTAAAGGCTAACGGCGCCCCCCACAGACGCTTGAACCTTACACCGCTGCTCTGGCCCAGCCCGCTGGGCAGCTGGCAGACCTCGGCCTCAAAGGCCACGCGGGCGCCGGCTGCTCCGTGGGTGCAGGACAGGAGGAAAGGCCCGGCCAGGTGGACCTGGCAGCCGCAGCCTTGCGCTGCCTCACGCAACGCTAGCACCACCTCAGCCGGGTCTCGGGGGCTCCGCACCCTCACATCCCAGCCGCATCGGGGGGTCCGGGGCTCGGCCGCTTTCTGATGCCCAGATAGATGGCGACTGGAAGGGGAGGAGGAAGGGGCAATGCAAACAGAGAATGGAGGAGAAAATGTAGAAAAAAAGGTTGGTGTGGGATGTTTACAGGAGGAGGGTTGGAGGAGTTAGAGGTTTAGATGATGAAAAATAAAGGAGGAGGAGAGGAGCGAGGACAGATGATCAGATAAGAATGTAGGAGCATGAAGTTAAGAGTGAATGGGAATGGATATAAGGGTTTTTTAATTTAAGTGAAATGGACGTGTGGTGGAAGTGAAAGTGTGGTTGTATGAATGTGAATGTATGAGTGGTTAGGGGAAGGGGGAGGAGAAGAAAAAAAATTAATATCACATCATGGATTTTTACATCTCTACATAACAATCTGGGTCACTGAAAGGTAAATGTGTATTTTCTATTCTAACAACATTTCTTACTCTACAGTGAATGTACAACACCAAAGGGATTTGCAAATCAAACCCACCTCTAAATTAACTGCCTATTGAGGGATTTGGGAAATGATGAAACATTTATTTTGTTTCTAAATGTGAGCTTATGATCAAATATATCTAGTTAATTACATACTACACAGATAAATTCACACTTAAAGTGATAGTTGGGGTCTTTTCAAGTGGGGTTGTATGTCTTACCCACAGTCAGTGTATAATCTACAGCAGATGATGATTGGCATGCCTACAGTTTGCAGAAGCAGACAGAAGCGCTGACATGGAAGCTAAGCAATGTACTGCTGTGGACGGGGGCCGCAGCAAAATGTATTTTTGCCACCTAAAAGAAGTCCCACTTTAAATAACATATATATCAGTTTAACTGGATGCTATATTTAGAATATTTCCACTGCTTTACCTTGCCTTCAGACAGCATTTTTAGACAGATAACTGAGGCTGTTGCGTCACTTTCTTCAAAGCCAGACTCCATTGAGAAAAATAGTCATTTAACATTACTGTCCACAGGAGCTGCTGGTCTACTGCTCCCTTGTTCAGGTATTATATTTGTGTTATGGTGTGACTTTGGCATTTGAAGGGGTCAGTTCAGCTTCACCAATGTCACCATAAACACAAACTTACTAAGTGATCAAGACAACAGTAGACCAGCAGCTCCTGAGTTCAGCAAGGTCAAATTACTGTTCTTGTCAATGAAGTCTGGTGGCTTTGTCAAGAGCAAAAATGTGGATCTTAAGACAGCGACAGCTTCCCCATTGGAACGGGTTCTCTGATAGAAAGGTGAAGCAGTGAAAATACTCTCAGAATAGTGTACAATTAAACTGTCAAAGATCTTTTCATCTTCTGTGTCAGCACCCCTGAAGCCTCTCCAAAGTGGGGGCGTTTCGACTGACATCCACTGTCAGTAACATACTGACTATCAATAAGTGCCTGTTACAACCCTACTTAAAAAACTCTGGACTACCCCTTTAACACCAACTACAACACAAGGATCTCAACACACCAGCCTGTTGGTGTGGGAAGGTAAAGAGTTTCAGAGACTGAGCTGTTGATAGAAACAATGGAGTGTTATTATTTCTTCTCTTTAAATCAAAAGGTTGTGCCTGCAGGGATCATCTACCACAGGGAGAACCACCGTCTGTTAGCTACTGTCGGCCTGGTGCTGCTGGTTTACCTGCTGTTTTTAACCTGAGATTGAGACTGGACTGAAGCAGCTGAGGCTGAGAGAAAGTACACATGACCTTTAGTGACATACCGATAAACTGACACTGATAACCCTGAAAAAAATACAGTATCATTAAAAATACAAGATCTATACCATTGTCATCTAGATTTGGTATATACTTTTGTGACTGTTTAGAAATAATTTTGGAAGTAACCCTAAGCAGATATAAGTCTTTCATGGCTAATTTCTGTTACAGTATTGTGCCCTTAACCTTCTAATCAAAGTGTGTCTGTAATAATACAGGGTCAAACAAAACTGGACTTTTATCCAAGAGACCACAGTTCATGTCCTCTGTTAAATCAAAAGTAAATATTGTGTTAACATAACGTTACATAATTTATGCACAGTCCTTGCACAATGGCATCACTCAAGTAACATATTAATGTCACATCATGCTATGTTACCTAACAAATGTACTTATTTTAACCCAAAACATGATCCTTTTTTTTAACCTAACGACAGTTTTGTTGTCTAAACCTAACTGGGACCATTTCAAAAACATTAAACAAGTTTTACAATGTGTTTCAGTGGTGCTTCACATAAAGACATTAAAGTACGGCCTTTGTGTCTCTATGATACGCCGAGGGCATGTAAATTATTTGACGACCTGGGAATGAGAATGGGTTGGTTAAGGAGATAACTGTGGAGAAAGTGAAACCTATGATCTGAATGTTCGCTGTCATGACTTTTACTCTCATTGATCTCACTTCTATAGTGAAATAAATAGTAAAAATAAACTGCTCCTCATTTTTCTGGGACTCCGTAAAACTCCCCTTAAAGACCCCTGGCAGTCCCCGCACCTCAAAGATCAGCTGTTGGTTCTTGATTTTACAAGATCCAAGTGAGAGAAGTATGCATATTAGTTTCTGTTTGATTGAGAATGCATATATGTAACTGACCACAGTGTGCATTCTCTTTGAGCACTTTCATAGCTGTTTTACTGTATTTCCGTGAGCCCTCCTCTCAACATGACAGTGAAAAATTTAACTAAAGAAATCATTTTAAAAAACGTAGAACAATTTAGGAACTTTGCTGGATACTCAATTCAGTTCCTATGTTGGGTCACATGCAAAAAGTGTGACTCCATGTAGACTTCCGATGTTTGGAAAGTGCTCAGAAGAAAAACATCGGGTTTCAGTCACACCTGAGAATGAAAACATTTACAACTGCAGAGTGAACAGGACGCTCCTTGTAAATGCATTTTACTTAGAGATAAAAGGAATACAAATTTTAATTGAATTACCTTTAGACTAGCAGTCAGCAGAGACTTTCTTTTAGTTCAACATTTTAGGAAATGTGCCAGTTTGTTTCTTGTTGACTGATTTCTCTGTCATGTCTATATGGTAAATATGTAGCTAAAGCCGGCAGATGGTTATCTTAGTTTAGCATAAAGACTGTACAGAGCCAGGGTGGTTGTTTCTCCCTGGTTTTAAAGGCAACAAAGTCAGTCAACCAGCATCTCTAAAGCCCACTAATTAACACGGTAAATGTTGTTTGTTAAATCCTTGTAAAAACATTGTTAAATCCTTGTAAAAAAAACCACACACTTTGCATGAATTTGCTGTTTAAGGTGGGGACATGGGCCAGATTATTTCTTGGCACATAACCCCCATAAAATGATACACATTTCTACATATATTTGTTTTGATCACCTTGTATTACTACTATACTGTTATTGATATGTTCTGTTTTAACAGCAGTAATCCTGCTTTCTTTCCCAACTCTTTTTAAGAGTTTGAAAGACTGATTTAATACATTTTAATACTAATTAAGGCCTTACTTGAGGTTCATGAATAAAATGCCTTCATCTGCAGTATCTGCAGAAACCCTGTGAAAAAATAAATTTGTTATTATTATATAAAATGGCCAATTGTGGTGTTTACACTCATGCTGTTGTATGGATTAAGCGAGATACTGCAAGTGAGCAAAAAGCACATTTCCTAAAATGTTGAACTACTCTTTCAACAGCAGCAGTCCCAATGTCATTCATGTGTGTCTCACTGAAGAGTAAACTAGAGGCCTTTAACATCCCTTAAGGACATGGTAAATTGATTAGTGACTAAAAATACAAAAAGCAGGTTGCTTTTAGTTCTGCTGACAAATGAAATTCAAAATTATTCTGCTGTTTCACTTCAGTTGTCAGTGCTGGGGAAAGAAAATGTAAAATTGATCTCACCTTGTGACCGGAGATCTGCTGATTCTCTCAGGTTCGTCTGTGACCCTCAAGAGGAAGACAAACGTATCCGTTAGGAATCAATCAATTGGCCCATCACATTTTCACACCAATCCCCCTTCCAGCCCCGACCCCCAATCTCACAACACACACTTCCTGTTTTAATGCTCCAAACAGCTGCATGGCTATGTCAGTCAATCCACGTAACTCACAACACAAGACTTGACAACTTGTCTTTAAATCACAGATGGATCATCACCAACCTACACTCACCACACTGGAACATTGAATGGATGTGACAGAACAAAATGTCAAAGTCACCAACAAAACAAATGAGAAGGATAAACAAATGTAGAGGGAGTGGATCCAGAGCAGAGAAGCTGTTCTTAAGACACAAAACACGTGGGGCCCTATTTAAATGATCTATAGCACATGATCTGAAGTTCAAGGCGCAAGTGAATTTATTAGTCATCACTTCATTTGCCCATACATGTGTATAAAAGAGACAGTAAGAAATTAAAAGAGTTTGAACATTGTGCAGGAGAGGTTAGAAGCAAAAAATGGCTTATAAAGATACCGCCAATATTAAATTACAATAATCATACTTAAAAAAAGAAAAAGATTAAAACAAAGACAACAACTGATTAAAGTTTCAAGCCTAAGCAGTATTACAAAATTTATAGTAATGTACTAATGACCAAAAAGCTCATGTATACAAGTTGAGATGCATTACAAAAGAATCAATGAAGTGTTTAAAATCTTTGCAAAGTCTTTTTCAGATGTTTTTTAATAGTGATAATATAGATGTTGACTGTAGTGGTGGAAGCAGGCTGCTGAGATGGACCTCTGAATTTCTATGACTATTGATTTAGGGAATTCTGCAAATATGGAACATAAAACTTCTTAGAGTGTCTTGTGGAATATGAGTGAACGTGAGTGTGAAATTTAGGGCGTGTCCAACCATTTTTCCTAGTGAAACGGTGCATTATCTGGGTGCAGAGTAAGACTCTAGGGACAAAGGGGGTTGTATTTAGTACCTTGATTAATCATAGATGTGTTTTGGGTGGATCTGTACGTGGCACACTGCTATTTACATGGTGGATTTGACAATTGGGGAAGCAAGCTACTAAGAGTAATACAGTAAGAGCATTAACATCACTACAGCAACTATTGTTGGATATGTAAGCAGCAAAATTAAAAACTGTAGTTATAAACGTGACAGAGAAAACAGAACTAAACTTTTAGTTTCCGAAATAATGTCATTACAATGCTCCTTGTGCATAAATATAAACAGCATCTCTCTTTATGGGGAGTCGGACAGCAGCGCTGCAGCTCTACTGTGCTCTCTGCTATGTTCACAGAGTGTAATTAATACTGTCATTAATCTGGAACAAGGAAGTAATATGGTGGAGAATCATCTTTGTGGCAGACGTCTGGCTCTTTCCTGCCCAACTATTGTCATTGATATCCCTCTGAACGTTTTAAGTATGTGTGTAGTTTCTATTCAATATTAAAATCCTGTAGGATGTTCCTTTTTTTTGTCCTTTCTTGAGGTCAACGTTGACAAGTCTCATATTCTAATCAGAACTCTTTACATATTAGAGAGTAGATTATTGTGTTAAACATGCCACACTAAAGGGCCACACACATCCAGGATGTGTGTGGCTGCTGTGGGGTGCTTTGGAATAAAGTATCTTCTGCTCCACCCAACAGGCTGCTACTGAGTGTGAGGCTGCTTATTGCACTTTCCTTTCATGGCCACCGGGGGCTGCTGTTGCTATTTTCTGTGTGCAGACTAATGGCTTCTTTCCAACCAACCTGGCAAACTGATCTCTATCCCAGGAACTGGGGGTGGCTTAAAAGTGAGAGTAGGAAGATTTCATTGATAGATTTTTTTTTTTTTTTTCACTGAAAATGAAACCTACTCTAATGTGACCCTGGCTCTGACTAAGGAGCTGCTGCAGGGCTGTAGCTTTAGATCTAAATATAAGTTTAGACTGTGTCTCAGCTTTTTGATGGATGCTGACTAATGTGTCACCTCTCTGACAGTGCCATCCACACAGATGATCACTGGGATACGCCTCAGCATTTATGATGTTATCTAATTATCCAGCAAACATCTGGAGGATGATTCCTTTTGGATTAAAAACACTAAACCTCAATCCAGCAACCCTGTTGAGAACATCTGACCCTTAACACCACTGTGTTGCTGAATGGATGGGTAGCTTAACAAGTCTTTACAAATATTGCATCAAGACATGCCTGTACTCAACAGTGATTATGTGAGTACTTTGTGACTGGAGAATTGGAGGTGTGCAGACTCGATTATAGGACCTTGCCTTTCTTGTCAGGGTAAAGAAAATGAGTGAGAAACACTTTTGTTCCTCCCTCAGAGACAGATGCCAAGGCAAGTTGTGTCACATCCCTTTGGAAGAACAACAGTGGCAAAAGTGTTTGTAAAGTATGAGACTGGACAGACTCCTGTGTATGAAGTTAGTGAACAATGGGAGTTACTGTGAATCTACAAATTTTGCTGGTAACTAGATGTAACTAATAGAGTGGTGCAGGAATGAGCCCTAAAACCTGGAAATGAGTTAGCAGTTTAGCACTCTCAGTTCCATCATCTTGAAGTTTGTTTTTTTAATGGGTTTTTGGTTAGATGTCTAAAATAAGGCCTGTGGTTAATACAAGCTTAAGAGACTTTAATGTTTAATTCTATGACATAAAATATGTCAGTAAATACCCATTCATGAATTCTAAAGCTTTAATGTGTCTTTAAAAGTAAGTTGCCGATATTGCTAAATGAGACTACAGAGTGTCATCACACCAAACACGGCTTTACAGCATCATTGTGGTGGTGATGTTGAAGTCATGCGACTGTAGTATAGTTTGTTTATAGCCTAAGGTTTGCTTTTTACTTCAGGTAATTGCTATTACTTTTTCAAATTAAATAACGCAATTACTTAAATTTAAGTAGTCTTGTTAGTCATTACCTTTGCCTTGATCATAGCAGATAAATACAGACTATTCCCCAGATTTTTTTTCTGGGTTACGATCTAACGTCACCTGACCTTATGGTGACGCAGTAAATGCCGTGAGTCGTCAACATCATGCTGCATCCACATGGATTCAGGCAGACAGTAGACAGACAATAGTTTCGGTATGGTACAGGATAAAACAGTCCGATGGAATGGCAGGACGGCAAAACAAAACACGCATGACAATATGTTGCTACGGTGATGACGTATTGTTTACAAAGCACAGAAGAAATATGTTAAATAAAATGAATTTGTGTCTCATACTTTTTAGAAAAATAGTATTAAAACTTCTGTTGCTTTACTTGAAGCCCTGTCCAGGCCACAATAAACAGACATATCAAAACATACCTATTGTCTTTTACTGTTCCACTACTTACTTTTCATCATAGTGATATTGGGTACAATCATAGATAAAATGTGACAACTGTCTTGTCACACACTACGCCACAGCAACACTAAAATAATACAGCTATGTGTATAAATAAGAGAATTTAGGCAGATATTTAAATGTTAATTTCCCCAGTAACCATGCTTTTACATGCAGTAATTGGTAAAGTAATTCAGTTACTTTCAAAGAAGTAACTAACTAATGTCTATTTTTCAGTAACGTGCACAATCTAGTTAGTGACTATCTGTATATGAACTGTACAGTATGAGCTCCAGATTGTGTGATCTGTATAAAGGCTGAAAGGAAGAAGAGCAGAAAGTGACGGAGCGAGAGAAGCTAGCAGCAGTGTAACAGGACAATCTGCTTGTATCTTGAGGGAGAGCTGTGCAAGATCCCTGTTTAAGAAGAGGATAGATCCTGGTTACATAACTAATCCTGATTTAAAACGGCAGTGACGCTGGGTCAGTCAGTCAGGATGACTGGTGCAGGCTTCTTACAAGCATTTAGTTCCTGCAGAGGGCTCAGACACATGCTCTGTGTTCTTAATGTCACAGGTTCAAAGCTACAATGATGCAGACTGAACCATCTTTACTCAGACCTGAATCTTTACAACGAAACTATGCCAAACTAAAAACATGAGGACAGGTCTTTTTTTTTTTTTTTTTTTCACCCTGACCCAGTAATGCCCACTATATTACCAGTAGTAATAACGTTTTTTTCCTCAAAGACAGTAAATGAAACTATCACTTCTCTTCATCCTTATTTTCCATATCTTCATAGGGTTGTTCATTCCAAAAATAAGTTGTGTGAGTGTGTGAGGTCCATTATACCTAATGCTATCATTCAATATGACTGTCTAGAAATAGGGGTAAACTTTAAGACCCATATCTAAAAATCAAACCAACGCCACTCCCTGTCATCCCAAAAAACCAAAACAGTTATTGTTGGAAGCAGGTTACGGTGCTGTGCCACCTACAGCCTGTAGTGAGTGCTACAGTATGAAGCCCAGCCAGCAGAGACACAAGCAGTCCAGACAGACAGACAGACATTCAGGCAGACAGCTGCTGATCAGAGTTTGAGTCACATAAACATACTGTTTTGAGACAGAGCTGCTCTACAGGAAGACACAATCCTGTTAACTGAGGTAAACTTCGATGGACACAGTCACAGAAACTCAAGTTTGCTGAATAAGAAGAATAAGCTGGGATTAAACTGGGCCAGGGCTCAAGTTTCCAAGTAAAGTCTCTAAGGGCCCTGACGCACCAAGCTGTCAGTCTGCTGCTGGTCAATGTTAGGCCGTCAGTGTTCCATCATATTCCTGCTGGATAATGTCTGCTTGTGTTTAGAAACCTTTATTGGTGATTTTTAGAGATAGAAAGTGCCGCTATTCTCTGTTAGTCATTACCCTGCTGCAATGACGGTGCAGAGACAGTGAAAGCGCGGATGTGGAAGTCCTGATAACGCTGACCAATTGGAGCAGACTGCACTTTTTTGGGAGGGGTCTTGAACAGACAGGCGCTACGACGTCTCCGACAGAAGGTGAATATAGGTGTTCCAGCACAGACAGTATGAGGAGTTTTTGAACTTCCTGATGGACCATGCATGCATTTGAAGAGAAACTACAGAACCATACTTCATGTGGAAAATGTAAACCAAAAAACAAGAGAATTTAATTAACCTTATCTTGTATTTATAAAGTAAAACACGTTTTCGTGTTCACAACGGCACAGGCAGGCTTTTCTTGGAGCCAGAGTCCCACATGTTAAATTGTACTCAACCACTGATTAAATTCCTGCCTATAGGGAAGCTTTGCCTCAGATAAATGTTTGTGTAACTAAACTCCAACCTGCAACAGACAGCGAATGAGGGGTAGAGGGGATGACAGGGCACTGGCAAGCAGGCAGACAGTCAGACAGACAGAAGCAGCAGCCGGAAAACATGGGAAAGGAAGACTTACTAACTGTTTTTGTCCCCTGTGGGAGGGTGCAGCCCGACATGGACTTGTTTGAGCTCTGACGTTTAGAAGGGTCAAGAGTGACCCTGGGAGGAGAGAGGAAGAAGAAGAGAAGGAGATGAAGAGAGGATGAGAAGAATGGATATAAAAGGAAAATTAACAGCAGAAAGTCAGAGAGACATTGAACAAAAGAGAAAGCAAGTGAGGGGGGATGACAATATAGAAATGACAGACAGTAAGAAGCACAGGTAGGAGAGGCAGAGAAGTACAAATCAAACTGTATGTACTGTAGTTGAGGTAAAAGAAGGACAGAAGATTGGCAGGTGACTGGCAAGGAAAAGCAAAAGTTGTTAAAGAATCAAACAAACAGATAAAGCAACAATAAGCAGCAGAGAAGAACTGACTGAGAGAGACATACAGTGAGTCCACCTGAAGAGCAGACCTGGGTCAAAAAGGTGATGTTTGTTTGTACCAGCTAAGAGTGCCAATATGTTGGAGTTTACTGCATCAGGAACACAGCTGATGGCAGAAGCTGAAAAGTGCAGGTTACTTAGTTGGATGTGGATTTTTTTCTAGAATTTACCATAATGTCCAACTACATAAATAACAGGTGTGGATAGAGGGCATTCACACAACACACTGTCTGATCCATTGTTGAATCGTATTACTCTGAAATTATCAATTCTTTTTATTGAGGGCTATTTCTATGAGGGCTGTTTCATTTGTTGTTTCCTGTAGGATGAAGCAGACAAATTTTCAATAGCAAATGTTTTAGCAGAGAAACGAAAACGAAAAGAAAGGAAAAAAATAGACCCTTAATTTTGGTTAAGCAAGTACAACAAACAAAAGGAATCATGTTTCATCACTATTAGACCCAGGTCTGAAGCCTGTTAAGCTTTATCATTAGAAAAGAAAGGCTGGTAGGTTAGTACTGGTTAAGGAAGAGACGGTGAGAGGGAGCAAAGTTAGCTTAATGACCTTCATGTACACGTTTACAGTTAAAGAACTACACTGTCCAGTTAAAAGCCTATAAACATAAAGGCTTTCAAAGGCAGTAATCTGCCATCACGTCACTACTTGTGGATGATAAGCAGTAACCATCAAACACATTCAGTCCTCAAAAATACTTGCAAATGTTAAATGTGCATTAAAACCCTGCTGTTAAAAGTTGATCAATAATCCGTTATCATTCTATCTCTTCCTGTTTTACCGATAGTCACATCTCTCAACAAAAGTTTAACTCATCCTTTTTAAACTTCTTTTCTGTCCTCCCTTTCTTTCTCTCCCGGCTTCTCCCCTTACCTGCGGGTCAACTTGGAGGTGAGTTTGCTTAGCAGGTTGGTTGTGGCCCGGGTCCTGGCGTGGGGCAGCGGGCTGGCGTCATGGGACGGTGTCGGGGAGGCTGGGGGAGCATGGGAGGGAGGGCGTCGGTCTCTGATCTGCCCTCCATGGAAGGTGCTCCTCACCGTGGATCCCCTTGAGAGGCGAGAGGAGGGCGTCGAGGACGAGGAGGAGGCCCCAGAGGCACCAGCAATGCTATGGGTTGAGGGGGAGGCGGGGGGCAGGCGGTGGGATATGGAACTGGGGGGAGGCAAGGGGGAGAGGAAGAAGAGGAGGAAAACCAAGAGTGGATAGTTACAAGATCATTCCAATTTTAAGTACAAGAACTGCACAGGAATCATATTACTGATCTCTTCAGCATAAATAGAAAAAAAAATACTGGATGGTAACTTTGTCAAGGTACACTATCACTGCAGAAATACAATGCAGACTGTTCAAGTCAGTGTAAAACAGTCAAAAGACTGAATCTAAATATACATTTGATGTGCTATTAAGTATATACAGCACCAGGAAAGTGTACTGAGTAAATCCCACACTGGGTGTGTTTACATGGGCCCTAATATTTCACTAATGAACAGAATAATAGCCCAATCAAAATAAAAATGCCTCATGTAACCACCTCAATTAAAAGTGACTGGTCAGATACGGCCCTAATGGAAAGACTTTCCAATCTGGTTGAGAGGGGTGGTGGGAAGTTAACCTTCATTCATAAGAAAATATTTAGTGCTCTACTGGTGCTACCTTCTTAAGGGAGTGCTCTTTGATTTTGAAAGTTATGTGATGTTGTTAAAGGCTGAATTGTGGAGTAGCTGGACATAAACATCTTTTGCCACTTGTAGCAGTGGCTTGCATGAGACATTTAGGAAACTTAGGTAAATTGTAGCATCTACCAAATTCTGCATATGAAGTGTTTAGGAGACTTCTGTAATTGGTAGCTAGAGAAAATAACTGGGGTACACCCATGTGACTTACTACTAAATTGTGTAAACAGGTAGAAACACTTCTTGTCTTTGTATACTTTGTATGATGAATGAATTTAACTTTCTCAGTAATTTTAGAAGAAAAAAAAAACCTTCTTCTTCTGTTATATTTCTGACAGATTAGACTCTTCACAGCGGATGAACCACTTCAGACAAATCAAAAAGGTAATTCTAATTAAATGCTTCTGGGCATGTAAACGCACATATTTTTACTTTATTTAATGTCCATGTGAACAGGTTATTTGGAATCAGAATGATTTCAATCAGATTAATGAAATACTGTCCAGCAGGCTACTGACTCTCACTTTGTCAAACACACACACACACACACACACACACACACACACACACACACACCCCTCTCCACCCCTGACTCGCTGGTGGCCTGAGGCTGCTTTTCATAACGCTCTAGATAACACCCACACACAAGGTTCAAGTGGGGCAGAACCATTAAACGAGTTAAGTTGAAGCACAGCCATTGCAGAGCAAAATCGTTTAACATCAATGTGAACTAGCTGCCTACTGCAGCTCACAGCAGGGGGGCACACTGGGGATGGGGGGAAGAGAGGAAAAGAGAGGGATGGAGAGGCTTGAGAGATGAAGACTGAAAAAAAGGTTAAGAGAGGAAGATGAGAATTTGAACTGATGCAAAAATGGGGAGAAGTGTAGATAGGGTGAGAGGAACTAACAATGTTGAACTCGTTTACAAAGAGCTCCTGAGATTTTAAATTTATGCTTGTGTCTTCTTTCTTCTCTGTCACAGCATGATTCTTGTAAAAGTTAAAAGTAAAAATCATTCACATGACAGTCCTGAATAAAACAGTTGAAACTATCAGGAGACTGATTTGTGATTATATCAGCTGGCCTTACTTCATTAGAGATGATTTTTCCAAATATATTTGTACACGTGCATTTTTTTTTTTTTTTTTTTTAACCTTTATTTAACCAGGTAAAAGACCCATTGAGATTTAAATGTGCTTCAAAAGTTTTAGTAATTTCTAGCTAAAGATGGATATAGATACAGTGATACTATTGATTGACAAGGATTAATATAACTGAATAAGAGTGTAATAGTATGTACATAAAATCCAGGGCCCGTATTCACAAAGATTCTCAGAGTCCTCTCAGAGAGCTCCTAACTTAGCCTAAAAATTCCTAGCAAGGAATCTTAGCTTAAGAGTGATTCAGGAAGTTTCTGAGAGCAACTCTGAGAAAGGAGGGGACAGAAACATTTATCTTAGTGACGAGGTGTGGTTGACCCCGTTGCTAGGTATGACGCAGTCTTCTAAAAGCTGTGATTGGTTGTTACAAAAAAAAAAAAAAAAGCGCTCCTAGTAGTGATTGGACAGTGAAATCAACCGATCATAGAACTTAGACTGTATTAAGAAATGTGTAATCGTGAAAATAATTTTATGTCATGATGATGAAACTCAGCAAAATTAAATTAATTGTTACACAGTTTCAAAATGTTTGAACGTACCTCATTCACATGACGATTATTATATTGATTTGCTTATTGTTATGTTTACTCGCCATGCTGGTAATTTTACTACTTAATCTATTTGATATTAATGGTGGACGCAGACTCAGCTGTCAGCAGTTACTGTGATTGCTGGCCTCCTTGTAAAAAGCGGTTTAATTTGGCAGAATGACCAAAACAACGAATGAAACGGAGAAAAAAAAGAATGAGAAAACCGAATTGGACAGAAGAGCAGTGCCTGCTGTTGGCACAGCTCGTGGAGGAGAACAAATGAGTTTTAAGAGGGAAATTCGGTCCCGGGATCACGGCACAAGGAAGAGGCAGACTTGGGAGCGCATTGCCCGACAAATCAATGCGTCGTTCCCTCTCCTTTTACGCACAAGCGATGAGTGTGAGAAGCGCTGGTACGTGCTGCAATCCAAAGCAGGCGTTATTGCGTTACTACGCTGGGTGGGAAAAGTAAGCTCATCCCTGATGAGGTCAACCACAAACATTATCACTGCAAGATCAAGCCGGTAGCGTCTTATTAAATCACTGTCGTTCAATATACGGAGAATATCTCTCCTTCCTCTCTGTCTTTCCGCCATCTTCTCTGTTTAAGACACTCTTAGGCTTCTTAAAAGTCCTCCTCCCTCCTCTTAACAGTTTTTCACTTTAGGAGCTCTCTTAAGGCCTAAGATGCTTTGTGAATAACTTTTATCTTACCAAGGGAAAATTCTCAGAAAAATCTTAGAATTCCTTGAATTCTAAGATTTTTCTTAGAATGACGTCACTAAGAGCTTCTCTTAGTCTTAGGATTCTTTGTGAATACGGGCCCAGGTGACTATTTGCAAATTACAATCTCCTCAACATACTCCTCGGTTATCTATATCTCAGCATAGGGCTGCACAATTATGGCCAACATGATAATCATGAGAACTTGTTATTTATTCCGATTATTCATTAATTTTATGGACAATATATTTTCATTGCAACTTTCTATTCAAAGGAACCCTGCTTTCATTTTTGTGTTGTACTACATTCCTGCTAACGTACAATCAAAATGAGACTGGTCATTCACAGTGCATCCCCTAGAAGCATTATGTAAATAAATTTGTGCCCAAAATATAGGCTGACTAAAAATAAATAAACCCTAAACCCAAAATAATTTAAAATAATGAGTGATGACGGTTGATAACGGATGATTTTCATTTTGCCCATCTGCAGTTGCAACATTCAGTAAAGATTTTTACGGGCTGCTGCTGCGAAGTGTGCATGAAGTGGCATGACAGATGTTTAAAAGTGGAGGTTGGCTGCACGTTCAAGAAGCTCATGAACTGATATGAGCAGAGCGCACATTGTAAATGTAAATATTGCAGTCAGTCATGTTCATTCAATTACGGGAAGCCAAAATAGCAATCGTGAAAAATTTTTGATTAGTTGTGGAGCCCTTCAGAAGGATATTTTGTTGTTTTTGTCTACATTAAACTATGTGCTTTATGACATGTTGTCTTGTCTATATCTGGAGTATGTCTTGGCATCGGGGTCACTTACCTTCCAGTGTCATCATAGATTAGTGTTTGTGTATATAATGTGTTCATACACAGCAATGTGTGTCCAATATATGGAAAGTATGTTTTATATAAACAAAATATGATTGGTCATACACACGCTGTCATGTACACAATCAGGGTTTTGTATCTCCTATGCACTTTTACCACTACAGTACACACAATTTTCATATGCATTTTTATTAACTAAATGCGACTGTGTGTGTGTGTGTGTGTGTGTGTGTGTGTGTGTGTCCATACACGTGTTTGTACCATCAACCACTCTGGCATGGCATCACATTGACAAGGCCTCTGAGGCAAGTGGAAGGTTACGTTGGCACAATGCCCGTCCTCACTTCATCCTGCTGCTCTCTCCTCCTGCTCACCTCCTCTCTTCTCCCCCTCTCCCATCTCTTCTCTTCACTTCTCATCATTCCTTCCTTTTACCTGCTCTCCTTTCCTAAAGCCCTCACCATCACCTGTTAAATCACGTAATGAAGCAGCAAAGGAAGATACTGACTCGTTATGCCTCAATATAATAGTGTTGAGCTTGTTGTCAAATCAACATGGAGGGGCCAATCCCAAGCTGTGTCTTAAACGCCTGAGAGTCAGTGCTCCATTGGGAGCGCCATTTGATGTTTTTCTTCCTTTTTTCCTCCCTTTTTTTCCCTGTTCGGTATCTTATAAAGCATCATGGTTGGAAAACATGAGTATGTTGGTGTACTTTACTGATGTCATTTTCTCCTGACCTTAAAGGTATACGTCACATCCCCAAATAACCCATTTGTATATAAATTATGCACGCTGTGTTATGTTCTCCCTGCCTTAGGCTTTCCATGTAGGCGCATTGAAAGGCAAGGAGGTGTGCTCTCTCTGCCTCTGGCTATCCTTGTTTTCACATGGAATTCTTGATAAAATAAAGTAAAAGGGATCCGCTTTTAACAACAGCAAAAAAACATCCATTTGCAAAGTCTCACACAACTAATGCAGTATAATACAAGTCTCATTTATCCAGTCAAATGCTCAGTACTTCCCAAACACTTACTTACTGAACTGATAATGAAACTTAGCGTTGCTCTGTTCAAAGTCAGATTCCATTGAAATAAAAAAACACTATTTTTACCTCGCTGAACACAGGAGCTGCTGGTCTACCACTGCCTCTATCGGTTATTTTGTTTGTTATTGTGTGACCTTGTTCCTCTAACACTAAGTTATTAAAAAAACTTTTTGTACAATCACTCATTAATGTTTTTCTTCTCTGCTTTCAATGGATTCTTAGCTTAAAAACTGTCTCTCAGTCTTTTATCCATTTGATACACCCTCTGCCTGACCTGCCCCCCCCACCTCCCATCTGTGCAGGAAAATTTTACTGGAGGTCAGACGACAGACAGGAACCTTCTGGCTCTTCCTCTGAGCGGCAAAATTGCAGAGCGATAAAGAGACAGAGGGACGAAAAACAGGTCAGCCAGAATGAAAGTGAGAAAGTGATTGAGTGACCATAGGAAAAAGGGAGAGAGAGAGAGAGAGAGAGAGAGAGAGAGAGAGAGAGAGAGAGAGGAGATGGTGGCTGCCATGCTCTGACACTGACAAGCAGACAACCATCTGTCACAACAACAGACAGTTCATATTGGGTACATAAACACACACACACACACACACACGCAGACAAACTCACTCATGCACAGTTTAAGCCCTTTATCCTCTCTTGAAGAGACAAAATCTATGTGAGACAAACACTCCGGGCCAAACACTCTCTAAGCTCTGTGCAAAAAGCGACAAGCTGTACCAGTGGAACCAGTCCTTCACAGTAATCCAGCCCTTAAAAATATTCTTTCACATTGTTAATACTATATGAATGCATTTCCTCAGCTGGTTGTAATTAGATGCATCACGGCAATTTCAGTTTAAACTGCATAAATTATTCCATCTTGTCCACGATCACGTTGCTGCTCTTTTTTTTTTTTTTTTAAATTTTGTTGAAGTACTAAATCAGAAAAAAAACCCATTTCATAGTCAGCAATACCAGTCAGTTAATTAACAGCCTGTGTGCCAGACTTATTTTCAGAAAACTTTCTGAAGAGTTTTTCCCTTGTCACAACTTGTTCCTTAACCTACGCCTAATTACTAAACCTAATCTTAACTTCTTAAGGTTCCTCAAGGAGTTTAGATAGAAGATGAGGTGAATTTAGGCCCTGTCTACGCGTACATATCTTTTTTTTAAATGGATATTTTCTCTCTCCAAAAATACATCAAGAAAAAAATCGCTGTCATATGCTGTTTTTGAACACAATACAATATAAAAAGAGTCCTATCAAGAAATGAAGAATCACTAAAATGTCCATCCTTTGAGCAATGTCAGTGACGGTCCATACCCTGCAATCCAGTGCAAGTCGGAAATCAATAATTCCAAGTGGGTATTTCCGACCTTTGATCTAAATGCGCCCCAGTGCATTTGCTCGGGAAAACATGGATGCCCACCACAAACTTATGTTTGTATGTCCAGTCTCTGAGCTTCACAAACATCGACCTGCATCAATTACCACAGCGCCATTAGTAAACGGCAAGTGTAATAGTTCAAACCATAGCCAATAGCATGACGTTGGAGAACTTTTGTCCATTGGTTTTTGCAGCATGTTTCAAACATCACATAAAATAAAAATTGATAAAAAGGTTATTCTGCTCAGTGCACTGTGTGCAAAGCCATGTTGCTGTGATGGCAGGTGTGTTTATGTCAGCGAACTCTGGACTGGTGGATCTTGTTGAGTCCGTAACTTGGAATTCCAACTTGAATGACCGTTTCATTACACTTTTCTGTGTAGCAGGTTGTTTGTGTCCCAGTTCTGAGTACAGTGGATTGTGGGGATAATGTGAGGGCACTTTGCTTATCTTTTACAGTACAAATGATACGGACACTCTCCTCACCTGTTTTCCTTGCCATTTTGCAGCAGCGTGTGTCTATCAGTGCTGGATCGGTCTGTACAGACATACGTGTTTCTTCGAGTCATGGCACTGGCAGGAATGTTATTCTGGAGAGAGAGAAAAAAATAAAAAAATCAGAAAATCACACGAATTTGACTGAAATGAATAATGTCCTCAATGTCCTCTTTAAATTAAGTGGAGATGGGAGAATGTGGTTTATAACATAACTAAATGAAAGGAGGGCTTCAAACGGGAAAGGCATTTATTATGATGCTGTCTGACAATTTATATTATTCCATTTTAAAAGTCCTACTTATGTAAACCCTGTCCACCTGGTGGTCCAAGCAGATAAAATAAAGTAAAGACTTCCCTGCCTTGTCTGTTTGTCCTCAAACAGTCATGAGTTCTGCCTATATCTGCTGTACAGAACACTAAAGAGTTAATCTCAGGTTAATCTGACTGCTGTCCTCGACTTTTTACACTCCCTAAACTCTTGCTTCTACATGCTTATCTTACTGAGCAACCATAATCTCCATATTCCTCCTGCTGGGTGAATCTACAGTTTGTTATTCATCTATGTATGTAAGTATTTTACTGCTCAACTCTTCTCTAATCTCCTGAAGACGTTAATGTTTGCAGTCTCCATAATATCTGTGTCTGTGTAGCATAATCTGAGGAAATGGGATTAGGAAGACTGGGGATTCTGCCATCTGTACCTTTCTACAGCTTGTTTGCAATCATGTGACTATTAAGATGTGCAAAACTCAGATGGAGGGCAAGAAGTGATAAATCCATATACTGCGTGAATTGGAAATAGAGGAAATTGAGGACTGGATGAACGTGCAGGCAGCAGATATTGTCAGAAAAGTTTAATTTATGATGGATTTGATCCATACAAAATGAAGAAAACTGATTTTGTCTGGTGTGGAAACGATCGTTGTTACAAATGACCTCATCCTCTATGTTACTAATGTTACATGGCGAGCCAATAAAAATCTACAAGAATCTAGAGGACTGTAACTATTTTGTGCTGGCTCCACTAGTGAAAAAACCTTCTGTCTTGTTTTTGGCCAGGTGAGTAAATGTGCTTTAGTATAACTGTCCTCTGTACAAGGATGCACCGCTGTCAGGCTAATGTTACTAGCAAAGGTTTGCTAACATTAACTACTTTTTTCTAACTAATTGGTCAAACATTCCAACAGGTCCGGTGAAACAACGTTAAAAATCTGAGTCGTGGCTACAAAGGCATGTTTTACACAATGCTTTAATGTTAATGTTTGACATGAGCTGACTCTGCTCCTCCAATATGAAGACAAAGGTTATTGATCCACATTTGCCACTGTTTTTCAGTGAGGTTTTTTTTAACTTCTCCTTCCTCCTGCTATTTTCAGGACTTAAAGTGCCCTTTGTTTTTCTCTGATTTGATCGATTAGAACAACCATTAACAGCACAAATCACAGGTAGGTGTGCAGTGTTGTTAGACTTTGCTTCCAGTTGCTTGCCCTCCATCTGTACAGCGTACCAATGTATGACATCATATCCAAAGAAGCTACAGAAAAGAGAGCACAGGTGAGAGATAACTGAATCTGAATGATTCATCACACCCAGAAAACATCCTTTTGGCCTTACTGTAGTTGCATTAACTTCCTTGCGCCGGTCGGGTATCTCAGCCTTATTTGGGTTGTGAGCGGAGCTAACCATGGGACTGGAAGGGGTTGGGATGCTACGGGAGCCAACAGTACTAGTACTCGGCTTGCGGCTCGACAGCCGCTCCTCCTTAAGCCCTGCGCCTTCGCCTACTCCACTGGGACTCCGCTTGGGATGTGTCGACCCTGGAACGGCTGGACCACCTGAGAGACAGGAAAGGGTTCTCAGAGAGGTAGATTTCAGGTAATTCAGGATCAATGAAACCAACTCCAACCAATCACTAAACAAGCTAAACTCCACTGATCTCGCTATTTTGCCTTACAGAAGTCAGAGTGTCTTCTCTGGCGGTGGTAAGTGGAGGCGCTGCGCTGTGCCTTGTGGCCAGAGGAGGAAGAAGTTGCCCCAGAAGATGAAGTGGTGTGTTTGCTGGTTCCGTTGGTGATGGCGCTGGGTCGGACTCGAGCTAGACTTAGACTGCTGCCCGACCGAGACTCATTGCCTTCCGTCTGAGAGACAGACAAACAGATAAAAAAAAGAAAAACATTTATACTTACAATATGACTGGAGACAGGTATCACTTACAATGTTTACAGCTTCTTTCCATGCACCAACACAGGGCTATAACCAAGATCATATTAGTTCAGTAGCTAAAGAGGCAAGCTCAAAGATTTCAATCCTGGTTGATTTGGCGACACTTGTGGTTACTGGTGGTAATAAATCTGGTTTAATATTACAGTTCTGGGGCAGCAAAACAAACTGTTGTCTTTTTGCTATGACTGGCAAAAATTGTCCTTTTTCCATCAATCTGTGAGCAACCATGATCTGATTTTATTCTGCACACGTCATGAGTCTGCAGACAGCAGGACATAGTCAAAGGAGTAAGTAGTTCCTCACGAAGTTGCCTGCAGTTCTTCAGCTAACAGCTCACTGTGGCTACTCCTGGCTGTTCCATTATTCCCTACAATATTTCAAACTGATCCACTGTAAAAAAATAAATAAATAAATAAATAAATAAATAAAAAAAAAGCCAGAAATGACCGCTATCTCGTTTTGAAGATGAACAACAGTGGTGACTCCTTCATAATAAAAGTCAACTCGTGTTTCAACAGTGAAATGCTTTTAATGTTGTGAAGCTGTAGCAGTAAGACATGTTTGCTTCGCATGAGCAGCAACTTAACACAGCATTTGTATCAAATGTCGCTCTTGACATCCAGTTCATAATACTGCTAATACATAAATATTGCAAAACTTTTATTAGTGGGCCATTTGCTTAGTCACCTTTGTGTTACCTCATTCAGCAACAGATAGTCACTTAGACCTTTATTTAAATAAAAACCTTCAAGATAATTCTTAATTTCCAAAAATGAGCAATATAAACTGTTAATGACAGAAGAAGTACAATCTCCATCCTAAACCTGACTCCCAATCTGTGGTCATTTTTGATTTTCTGATTTCTCTGTTTTAATTAGTATATGAGCTTAACTGGCAAGAGATGTAACATACACTGCCGAGTAAAGCCATAAACATTTTACCTCATATTCAACTGAAATACAGAGGAAGATCTGCAACCCCAAAGAAACGAAAAAAAACCCAAACCAAAACAAAACAAAACAAAACAAAAAACACGCCAATACACTCACCTCATTGTTGCGTCCCAGCAGCAGGTACGTGGCGGTGACCTCATTGTACTTATGACTAGACAGCGAATCTCTGATCTCATCTCTGGTAAAGCCCATCCCAACCATCACATCTGGAACAAGTACAACAAAACTGTGATTCCAGCTACATGTTAATCATGCAGGTTTGACCTTCTGTATTTTCATAAAAGGTTCTATCTCAGTGCTCTACTTGGTGTAAAACTTTAGTGCATGGATGAATATGCAGGACCTGAACTTAACAACTACCAAGAGTCAATCAAACAGGTGTGGAGCACCATGTAGGTCATCTTAAGCTTTTATGATACTTAATTATAACATCCCATAGTAGATTCATGTAAAGGAAACTTTGAGTGACGCAGAATGTCAGATCTCTAGCACAAGCTGTCCCTCCCTGAGAAGTTGAACAGTGCACCAGAATTTCTTAAAAGCCAACCAAAAAGGCACTGATGACTTTGTGACCACAACTCCAGACCTCCCACAAAATACTAAAAAAAAAAAATCCTTCAGAGGCGGCAGCTGATGACTCTGCGGACAGAAAGGCCTAAGGCAGACACTCCCAGTTTAACACCACTGAATATTTCTGTTACTGTTAGACATGATCCGACTCAACCCCAGACAGTCATTAGTTAATCCCTCTTTGATCAATTAATCAGTAAATAAATGAAGTAAAAAGTTTGTGTTTCTCACCAATGCGGCTTGTGTTGTTAAAGTCCTCCTCAGGCTCTATGTGGGGCTTCAGCTCATCACTATCATAGCCGACATTAATCCACTTATCTCTCATTATTTGCTGATGAGGAAAGAGAAGGAGAGCTCATTATTGAAACAGTAATGGGGCCATTTTGAAAATGCTGTATGTAGTGTATGGTTCCTCCTCACCTCCAGCGAGCAGCGCTTGGAAGGGTTGAGGACCAGGAAGCGGCGCAGGATTGCCTCGCAGTCTGTTGACATGTAGAAGGGGACACGATATTTCCCCCTCAAAACACGCTCCCGCAGCTCCTGAACGCAACACACAATAATACACAATGAATTCCCCCTACAGGGAATCAATAAAAGTTGGGGACTAGGCAAAATTTAAATATTGTTTATTGTCTTTTAGTAAACTCTTATGTTATGTGATACTGTAGGTGATGAAAGGTTCCCTGTGGAGTTTTTGACATCTATTGGAGCTGTTTTTCTGAGTAGGTCCCAGTTTTGGTTATGTAGTGTATGCGTATACACATGTGCACACGCATGCACACGAGTGACACAATACACATTCCTTCTAATGGTTAACACTACTCCACTGACCAACAGGTGGCAGTAATGCGCCGAGATATGCTGCAATGCATCAACAAAGGCAGGAAAGAAGACTGAAGGCTGGTAAACATGGGTGTAAACAATGCAGGATGTGACATAAAAAACAGCTTTGCAAATGTTTCATGAGGAAAGAAATGCATTCTACACATTTGTTAGACCTTGAGGATATGCACATCTTAGAAAGCATTGTGAATGTAAATATGACTTTTATTTGTTTACAAGAAACCTCCACAGGATGCCTTTTAACAGATTAAATTAGATTATTGATAAAATCTTAAAGGATTATTTTAAATTTTGACATCATGTTATTCTTATTGTTAAGTTCAATGTGACTAACCACTATGAAATTATTTTACATATCGATTTTGAATGTCTAAACACAAATGCCTGCAAAGTGCATTGATAGGTGGTTATATCTAAAATATATTTATAATAATGTCTCTATATGGTACATCACTTGCTTCAGTATAACACCATGAATAAAGCCCTGTTTGCACGATACTAGTGTTAACTGGGGACCTCTGGTAATTATTGTGGAGGTTGTCTGTGATCTTATTCCTATGCAGTCTGCCATGTCCATATTTGTCAAGTAAAAATTCAATCGCAAATTACCTGACATATTTCACCAAACACAGAGGTCATGTAATAATATTAGTTCCATGCGAATCATCATCTCTATGATTTGGGGTCATATTTAGGTTTTCTGTTTTCTCTGCCTCTGTCCTGGTCAAGAATTACAGAGGCCACACTGGCAATTACAAATGGAAGTTTTGACAGCATTTTGGGTGCAGGAGGCTCATCTTGCAACACAACATGAATTCAGTGAGAAACGCAAAATCTCAAAAGATGATGGGATAGATGATATCATGAATGGCATGGTTGGTTGTTTGTTTAACCCACATTTAGAAGAAAGAAGTACATTAACACTGTACATCCCTGACAGTGGTTCTGGGTAGTGTTTCTGTGCCGTGTACAGTGGAGTTACAAATGACTGTGTGCATCATACCCAGGGGATAATGACGGAAATTTGAGTAAAATACAGACTTTGCTTATTCTGTGCGAATGGGCTGCAGAAAACAGAGACGTAGGTCGTGGTCATTTATAAATCACATGAGGTCCCCAGGTAATACTAGTCCTGTGCCTATAGGGCATTAGTCAAGAAAAACAACAAGACACAGATAAAGCTACAGTTCTTCCCCACTGCACCCTGTGTTCTCACTGCAGAACGCCAAACCTTCACCTCATATGACATTTATACTGGACTTAAAAAGCTTCCACGTCACCCACCTTTAGGTTCTGTCCGTCAAAGGGTAAGGACCCACTGACCAGTGTGTATAAGATGACACCCAGGCTCCAGATGTCCACCTCTGGACCGTCGTACTTCTTCCCCTGGAAGAGCTCTGGGGCGGCATATGGCGGAGAGCCGCAGAACGTGTCCAGTTTACTGCCTGCAGTGAACTCGTTGCTGAAGCCAAAGTCAGCTATTTTGATGTTGGAGTCGGCATCTAGTAGCAAGTTCTCCGCCTGCAATAACAACATAGATAGTGAAACACATAAACACACATATTAATGTGTTGTTGCTGAAAAAAAAGATTATTTACATATTTGCAACTTAAGTCCATAATTTCTTTCAGTGCTGTCATATGGGGAGTGATGCTTTTTCTGCATGTGTAGTGGATGATACACTTTGCAATAGCAGATATACACTTTATCAGCCACTGAATGCTGAAGTGAAGGACTTTGATCATCTTGTTACAATGCACTGTTCTGCTGGAAAATCCTGGGTCCTGGCATTCATGTGGATGCCACCTGACACACACCACCCATCCAAACACTGTTGCAGACACTGTAGCCCCCCATCATGGATATATTTGGTCTGCAACGGTGTTTGGGTGGGTGGTGCATGTTAAGTGGCTTCCACATGAAAGCCAGGAGCCAAGGTTTCCAAGCAGAACATTGCACTAATGAGACGATCAAAGTTATCTACCCCACTTGTCAGTGGTTTTAATATTTTGGCTGATTGGTGTAAATAAATGGTAGGTTTAGTTTGAACATCACCTATTGATGCCATAGAGAATAATTTACGTAAATAATATATATCAGCTTTAAAGACAACTTTCACTGATTTTTGGTTATCTTAAAAGATTCATGGAACATTTTCATTATTTTTTTAATGACAGTGTGTAACCACCTTCAAGTCTCTGTGAACAATGTTCTTCAGATGACAGTAGTGCACTGCCGAGACAATCTGAGGGAAAGAAAAAAAAGAGAAGGTAACTGCACTTAATGTTTGCACTCAACATGTAAAAAAAGGCAGCTAAAGGGGGAGCTCCATAAACACATTCACATGTCATCCTTGAAAAACAATATAACTCAACATTACAAATGAAAGGCAAATGACTACATTTCTTGTTGTGAGATCACACCAACTGTTTGTTTGATTTGGTCTGAATCCCAGTGGACAAGATGCAAGCAAAGCAGGGACCAAGAACAATATCAGCTCGTGAGTAGCTCAGACTTCAGCTACTGTGAAGTTTTGTCAGCATAATGAATTTACATGTCGTCATTAGTCCAGACTCCATTTTGTTCATCTCCGTTTGCAAACCGCACAGAGCAGCTGGCTGTCAGATGTCTACATACAGTTGTGTAGGGACAAAAAAAAAAAACAGACAGGTGAATTAAGGTATGAGGTTTAACTGACCTGTCTGAACTTGGCTCTGGCCTCTTTCTCCTTCATTCTGCCGTGAGCCACGAGGTAGTCGAACACTTCGCCTGGAGGAAAAACAAAGACAACGGCTTAACTTCAAGCAAGCATGGAAGTGGTTCAATAGTTACATGTTCCAGTTTGCACTCCAATTGTATGGGACCAGAAACCAGTGGTGGGGCAAGTATTCAGATCCTTTACTAAAATACTTAAGTAAAATACAAGAACTTCAGATCTGACCTTGAGTATAGAACTTCAGTAAATGTTCTAACATTACACCACTGCTAGAAACTGTCACTAACAATTTGGTTCTCCATATTAACAGTTTTGGTGCTCATTCTCAACGCTCAGCACTGCACGTTCAGCTGTGACACCGGTGCCCTCTTCCCAGAAAACTAAACTCCTGTAACACTTGAGATATATGTGAATTCAGTATGTGTTCATAAGTGTTTAATCATTATAAAATCTCCAACACTCTCCAACAAACTCTTAATGAGTTTTTGCTCAGGTCAGCTTGTACAAGTACATTTTCTAACATTACAAGAGAGCAAATGTAGCAACACCATAAAGGGTTTACAAGAATACTCACAAAATTACCCTTTGTTAATCAGTGGATAAATGGTTGTTTTGATATAGTTTTGCTGTTGTTAAACATGGTCCCCAATCAGTTAATAAATCAATACGTTTGCTTTTTCTGTGGAGGCATGTGAGAAAAAGTTTCTTCTCAAATTCAAAGTTCCGTGGCATGACTAATTGATATATAAATGGTCATTTCATGTCCTGACTGAAAAATATGGATCATGTGTATGTGGTCATGTTTGGGAAAGTGAAAAACTATCCATGACTTCCCAATAAATTCAAATTAATGTCTATGTCCCTGGATGCTGCTTTTTTAAATGTTTTCTGTGTGCAGGTCTCCATACATATTTTCTGTGTGTGTGCATCTGTATGTGTACATGTGTGTGTGTGTCTGTGTATGCACCCCAGCCAAACATTTGACCCCACAGGTCCTAAATAGTACAACAGGCTGAGGTTGAGTTGAACAGAGCTGCGTGTCGGCTGGCTGCTGCCTCCTTATTAGGTATTGGAAGTAAGACATCACACAACATACAGCGAGAGCAGCGCAGAGCGATTAAAGGATCATGAGGAGAGAAGAAAGAAAAATAGAAAAGCTGCAAAAATAGAAGAGTGCATGGGAAACAGCTGCACAAAGTTACAGAGCAAGATGAATAGAAGTGCACGTGTAAATCCAGTAGAGAAAACAATAAAGCAAAGGGATTTGACTTGAGATCTCACTAATGAAAATAGAAACAAAAGGGACTCAATCATTTATACCCTTAATTAATTAGTCCATCAGTTGTGCTGTATAGCTCAGTCAACGTATTCAATCTAATTGGCATCATTCATTACCTGGTGATGATGATGAGAGTGGTGGGGATGTTACTCACCTCCGCTGGCGTACTCCATGACCAGGTAAAGAGTCTTGTCAGTCTCAATCACCTCAAACAACTTCACTGTACCACAAAGGGGAAGAGACGTTAACACAAAGGCCCGCATGGACAAAACACACACACACACACACACACACACACACACACACACACACACACACACACACACACACCAAATCAATTCTCTGGAGTGTGACTCACCTATGTTAGGATGGTTGAGAGTTTTCATGATGCGTACCTCTCGAAACAGCTGGCAAAACAGAGAAAATGAACAGTCAGACTCCATTATTTCTGTCAAGTTATTGATACACAATATTTCACAGATAAGTTGCTCAAAAGACTGGCTTTTTATTGTGAACAGCCTAAGGCACACCTATAGTAACTGAAATGAACATACTTCATTGTAACTGAAATGAATATACGTCACTGAACATTTAAAAATAACAATAATAAAATAAAATCCTATTAGTGTATAACAGATCTTCAGTAAGGAACATAAATAAACATTTCATGTCTGAAAAGGAGTAGAAGGACGCAAACTGCTTGTCTAGTCCTACACCTGTTCTATTCTAAACAAACCTTTGCCCCAGCATCCATCCCCACAACTAAACCACTCTGTTCATGCTCCTTACACATACATACATGTACAAATAACCTAGTATTCTAAAACTAAAACAACTGATGTCCACAAAGCTGGAGAAGGCGAGAGGAAGATAGCAAAGTGTTTTCAGGTAGCTGTTTCCTCAGTTCATAATGTAATTAGGAAATGGCAGTTGACAGGAACTGTGGAGGTCAAGCTGAGGTCTGGAACATCATGAAAACTTTCTGAGAGAGCTCCTCGAAGGATTGTTAGAAAGGCAAATCAAAACTCCTGTTTGACTGCAAAAGACCTGCAGGAAGATTTAGCAGACTCTGGAGTGGTGGATAGCATCAGAAGTTTGCAAAGGAACACCTAAACAAGCCTGATGCTTTTTGGAAGCAAGTCCTGTGGACTGATGAGTTAAAATATTACTTTTTGGATGTAATTAGCAAAGGTATGTTTGGGGATAAAAGGGTGCAGAATTTCATAAAAACAACACCTGTCCAGCTGTTAAACATGGGGGTGGATCGATCATGCTTTGGGCTTGTGTTGCAGCCAGTGGCACAGGGAATATTTGAAAGGTAGAAGAAAGAATGGATTCAGTTAAATTAGAGCAAATACTGGAAGAAAACATCACAGCATCTGTAGAAAAGCTCAAGATGAAGGGAGGATGGCTTAAACAACAGGACAATGATCCTCAACACATCTTGAAATTCACAAATGTCAACCTCAAGAGGCACAAGCTGAAGGTTTTGCCATGGCCCTCACAGTCCCTCGACCTAAACACCATTAAAAATCTGTGGATAGACCTCAAAAGAGCAGTGCATGCAAGGCGGCCAAAGAATCTCACAGAGCTAGAAGCCTGATGCAGGAAGAATGGGTGAAAATCCCCCAAACAAGAACTGACAGACTCTTAGCTGATTACAGAAGGTTACAGAAGCTGTGACACTTGCCAAAAGGGGGCGCTACTAAGTGCTGACCATGCAGGGTGCATAAACTTTTGCTTCAGGCCCTTTTCCTATTTTGTTTTGTTGAAACTGTACAGATTGAAATTAAAAAGTAATCTTGCTTAAAATAATAAAGAAATGCGTCATCATTGACGTTTTGCATTTTGGAAATCAGGTCATCTTTTACTTGCTTAACTATATACAGTAAATACAATTTTGGCCGGCATAGAAAAAGTCTTAGGTCTTAAACTCTAAAAAAAAATTCTAAAAAAAGTCTACAAAAAATGGAGCACAAACAAACTTTGATAATTTTGTTTGGCACAGAACAAAATGCCATGATCAAAACAGTTGTATATTCATTACAAGGTATTTGAGATCCTGTGCTGTTACAGGTATTGGTAGAATTAACCGATTATGTATTCAGCATAGGAACAGTGAATCATATACGATCAATAGAATGTAAGGTTACACTCAATACATGGAGACAAAATGAACAATACAGTAAAATGTACTTGTGTGAACTTAAAAAAAAAAAAAAAAATCAATAAAGCTCTTTTCTTTGTGCATAACTTGAGGTTTTGGAAAAGACAGACAGCTTCCTCACATCTTCATCTTAATTATTTCTGATTTATTCATTCATTGAATGAATTCTTCTTCTGTGAATTCAGATGATCCACAGCTGGTGTATAGACACAATTCCCCCTCACTCCCCCCACTCATCTTTCCGACCACCTCCAGACCTGGGCCACCCAAGGGAGTGTCTCCCTAGCACTATGCTGACAGCAGGGCCTCTTCCCTTGGGTGTGCACTCCCTCCATCCCCCCCTTCATCCATCACTGAGCTCCAGACTGCTGCCTCATCCTGCCACTCTGATGCTCTGTCTGTCTGTCTGTCTGTCTCTCTGTCTGTCTCTCTCTCTCTCTCTCTGTCTAATTAAAGTAATGTATTTGTCAGTGAACTCCATTTTAAAAGATTACAAAGGGAGAGCGACAGGCTAGACGCATCACAGTGGAACATGCTGATGAACTGTTAGGAGACTTTTTTAACACCAGATGAACCAGAATTTCAGCACAGAAATGGTGAAGATCACAGAAGGTGAAATCTGACAGTTTGCAAAAAACCCTCCAAATTGGACTTTTTATCATCAACATTTTATCTTATGTCTTATTAAATTTCAAACTCCAAAACCTTTTATTCGTATAGGGTCTGCACACAGCCTCTGTGAAGTGTTAAACAAATGCAATCGATTTGTTCATCCATCATTAGTTGTTAGGGTTCTGTTATTAGTGACAAAGTGCGACATTCTGACCCTGGAGGGGAAATGTGACTTTCCCTGGAAGAGTGTGTACATGGAATAACTGCATGTCAAAAACAGTGTGTCAGGACTATATCTGTGTGTGCAGGAAACTGAAACAGAAATAGAAAATGAGGCAAATTAACAATGCACAGGAGCTGAGGGGCGTAGAGGGAGGGAAAGACAGAAAAACAATGAGAGAGGGAGTAAAAAAGAAGGAGGGGTAATAAAATGGTACACAGAAACAAGTGAAACTGATGTGTTGGCATTTAGTTTTGTATTAGTAGTGCTGGTGTCATTTATTGCTCTGTAAACCCCCCAGCAAGCCTGCCTTGTTTAACATTCTTAAAGAATAAATTACAAAAGTGAAAAATGTGAACTCACAGAATAAAGGAAAGAAACAAAGAGGAGAAAAAATACAAGAGCAGGAATGCACTGATGCCTTCATTTTTGTAGCTAACACTAAGCTGTCACGGGAGACACCCCCCCCTTATCTCTCGGTCTCTGTTACTATAATATGACCTGATATAATCCCCATCTTTCATGTTCTCATGGTTACATTTAATTATTTGCATACTACAGTAGAATCTTACTACCAACTCATGATGCTTAAGACGAAAAACTTGATTGATCTATGCACTTAAGTCAGTGGTAATTCAGCAAACTGACAGTAATATAATAATAGTCTAAACATTACTGTCTCTACATTACTGTTTATCTGTATGGACGTGTAAAACAGAGTTTAAGAATTAATGACAATCTCCTCAATTTGCACATGCCTATTGTTGCTTTGTGTAATGAGCATACGTTTCAAACAATAATGGCGGACTGCCATTTAACATGTTGGTAGCACTGTTTGATCTAATGACTACTTTACAGTTGAACTTAGTATTGCTGCACCACTTCATAGAGAAAGGGAGGCGTCTGCTGCGGCCAGTGTTTTGCTCCACCTCATTGTCTGCGGTTTTAAGTCCTCCACAAACTTCAGTTTTGGATCGGGCCCGCTTGAAACAGGCAATGGTGGGACACTTTCCAGAGAGGGATTGTCGTCCATGAGGAGTGGAAAACTTTTCAATGTCCAGAGCATCACTATAATGTTTGAGTGAGCTCCTTCAGCTTTCAATTGAATGAGAATCAACAGTGTGTCTCCAGTCTCCAGTTGTCAAGTGTGGACGGAGATATTTTGTAAAAAAGTGTGTTTTCAAAAATACCTGTATACACGTAGACTTTGCTTATGTGACAAGCTGCAATAAGTTGACCTAACATTTAAGACAGAGGGAGCCATTATATAGACTGAGTGTCTGATTATTATGGTTAGTGCAGCTAATTGCATGTGTGCATTTTTAAATAAAAGCACTCAGATGACTACTGAATGTTTTTTGTAAAATATTCAGAAAGTATGACATTAAAAAGCAGAAAACATAAGGAAAAAACAAGAGTGGAAGATGCAGACCACAGTACTACACATTTAATTAACAGTAACAGTAACAATTAAAATTTAATTAACATTAACAGATGTTTTTACCCGTTCATCCTACTCATCCAGTGAGAGCTGACATACGCCCTGCTTCATATTCACGCCTGCTGACTGTAACCAGTCAGCAATGACAGCAGCACTTCACATGAGCAAATATGTTCCCCTTCCTGCGTCACTTGTTTATGAATCTTCTTTTCAAACAAAATCTGAGTTTCCGTCTTTCCGCATGCTCCAGAATTTGCTTTCTCACAGTGAAGTAACAACACTTTCACAATGACATAACTTTACGGTCGCCCAGGGCGATGTGTGCATGGCTGTATGTGTGTCTGTTTTCACAGATATCATCCGAGACAGATTCCTGGTATTCATCAAACAGAGGATAAAGACCAGTTCAGGTCACCCACGCAAACACACATTCTCCCTCTTGAGCATACACTCACTGACTGACTTGGCCGTGCTGTGCAGCCAAATATACGATTTGTGCCAAGACACTGAATACTTAAAAAGACATTTAAATAACAATTACCACACATGAACTGGTGTATAACAAACTAATTGTCAATTTTTATCATCTATTAATTGTTCAAGTTCTCTACTTTATCATCGTAAACTGAAAATGTTTGTGTTTTGTGTTTTGACTGTTGTTCAGCTGTTGTTTTGCAGAGGAAAAAAACTCCAGCTCCTGGCAAAAACCTCCTCAACGATAAACACTACAGGAATCCTAACTGGGAGTTCACACTTGGCACATGGAAGAAATTTCAGCTGGTTGTGATCTGCAACACGATATCTCAACACTAGATAACACTAAATCCTAAACACTACTCCTTTAACTCCTCATATAAAAAGGCAGCTGCAGTGATTTGGTATCCCGTCAGTTATTTTTAAAACCCTGATGCGAATTTATACGATGTCGTGTTGAAGAAGCATTCACATATAGAACCACAGGGAATAT